GGGGGGTAGGAGTCCTTTTGTCTCCGTTCCCCATGCTTCTAGGTGTGCCTTAAGTTACACTGCGCACAGGTATGAAAGACGAGGCCAAGTGGCATCCCATAGGGGCTGTGGTAGGTGTCGGACTGGCTAACCTGTGGTACAGGGCATCACAAATGTAAGGTGGAAGAGTGCTTCAGCCCTGTTCTCTTTTTCAGTAGTAATAAGCCTAAAAATAACGAATCTTACTTAGTTACTGTGCCAAGAACAATGATTCTGAATAAATGATAGGAGCCAAGTTTACTGAGTAGCATGCTGTTTATACAAAGGCTGTTTTCAGAAGATAACTGTCCTGAGAAGTGATACTGTTAACTAGTAATGTTTAATAATTATCTAGTGCTTTTAATTTTTTACATTCTTAAGAAATTGCAATATGCACGATGTGGCAGGTATTATCTTTTTTTTTAAAAATAAAACTGGTTATGGAAAGTGATGCAATAAGGTGGAGTGACTCATCAAGGCAGCGTAGTCAATCATTGACAATTATAGTGCCTTATCCTTGATTATGTTTTCCTTTGTCTCATTCATTCTGCTTGTGGAGATTTGCGTCTGAAATATTTTTAAATACTTTATTAATCTAGTGTATTTCTTTTAAAGACATACATAAGTGAGTTCAGAGCTGCAAATCTGGATGCTGCAGAATTGTATGCATGTGAACTGGCAGGTGAAACTAATTGAAAAGTCATTGAAATTTGGCTTGAAAGCTTTTTTGGCCAGTGAAAAGCAAATAGACTTGTTTATTATGATATGCATATGTTTACAGTATCGTGGTATTTTGTAGGATAATTTATATGAACTACTGGAGATTGTGATTTCTCTGTGAATCACACAAGTGTAACTGTCATAAAAGCTGCACTGCATCCTTGGAGCAACTTACTTAGAAATTAAGTAATTTTAGTCTTTGAACAGGAGGAGGAAAACTGCTTAAAGACAGTGAGTAAAATCCTTTCCTCAGTGAATTTAATAGCAAAAAAAGCAAAACCCCAAAACCACCAAACCTTCCCCTCAGTTTTAAATTCAGTAAATTCAGTCTGATAGGTTTTTGTAATTTTTTTTTTCTAAACTCAGTAGGTTAGTTACCAGATTTATCTTTTATATCAACACCTCTAAGTTGCATTGTGAAGTTTGATATAATGGTCTCTGTAGAATGATTTATATAAAAGCTGAAGGCACAATGTCAACAAGTCTGATGAGGAGCAGCTGAGGGAGCTGGAGTTGTTTAGCCTGGAGAAGAGGAGGATGAAGAGAGACCTGATGGCTCTTTACAGCTACTTGAAAGGAGGGTGTAGCCAGGTGGGGGTTGGTCTCTTATCCCAAGGAACAGGTGATAGGACAAGAGGGAACGGCCTCAAGTTGCAGCAGAGCAGGTTTAGATTGGAGATTAGGAAAAAATTCTTCACCAAAAGTGTCATCAAACATTGGAACAGGCAGCCCAGGGAAGTGGTGGAGTCACCATCCCTGGTGGTATTTAAAAGGTGTGCAGATGTGGTGCTTAGGGACACGGTTTAGTGGTGGACTTGGCAGTGCCAGGTTAACAGTTGGACTCGATGATCTTAAAGGTCTTTTCCAACCTAAATGATTCTGCGATTCTATAAAGGTTTGCTTAGATCATTTGGATTATTTACATATGAAGCTATGCTGATGCTCAACACTTTGCAGCTGGACTTCGTCACAGAACACATGGCTTATATCTTTCAACAAGTCATTGAAGTGCTTTGTGCATAATTTGCCTATCGGTATGATAGGTATCCTGCTCACCTACCCAAGGTGATATAAGATTGCTTGGTACGGTTGAAGCTTCACAAGATTAACTGAGAAGGTTCCTCCTTAAATGTATAATGTGTTTGCACACTCTTAGCAGGAGAATCTTAGTAGTTTTAGATATGTTTGACTAATGTTCTCTTCTGTTAATGTTTTCGTTTGCTGACATATACACTGTAGGAAGTTGCAAGCTGTTGGTTTTGATCATAGTTTCTCCTTATTACTTTGTTTTAATGGATTTATTTGCTTTCTCGTCGCTACTACTTTGCTATACATAGCAAGAACAATTTTCCTACTTAGAGAGTAGGATGTAAATGCCACCAAAGACTAGTAGCATCTTGCCAAGTGACAACTGGAGAGGTTACTCACAGTGCTCTTTCCAGTAGATCCACAGAAAAAATGGGCATGTGCCACTTTGTTAAGCACAGACATAGGTAACTCAGTGTAGTAAAGTTTTGTGGTTTTTAGATTGATACCAAATATTTTTTTAACACTGGCATTTTTGTTTTGTTTTTATACTTAGCAAGCTCTCAAAAGATGGCAGAAAGCTGGTCTTTCTTGGATACTTCTGAGCCTAACTTCAGGCCTCTGGTGGTAATTGAGCTTGCAAAAGGCACCAAAGAGGAAACCATAAAATGGTTCACTAAACGAATTGTGGACAAAAAAGCAAACGGAGGTGAGTACAGTATGACCTTCTGTAACGCTTTGAAATCAAATTGGCTGTCGTCATAATATGAAGACTTAGAGAAAATTAGTTTCCAGATAATTTGTGGTTTAAATATTGCTTAGTTTATTTTTTTATTATTATTATTTTTTATTAATTATTGCTTAATTATCCCACTCCATTTTGCATTTTTGAAGTTGCTTAATTTTATGTAAGAGTAGAGCTTTATGCTGGTGTCGTGAAAATGAGATAACTGAACCCTGTTAAACCCAGTTATTAATGAAAATATTGGCTTAAGGTCACATACCTGTTGAACTCTAGAATCCTTCTGTTTTTGCAGTGAAACCCTGATAACCTATCTTTCAACATAGTTTTGATACCAGTTTTTATATTAATTGTCTACAGCATGCTTCTCTTGTTGCTTATGAGAACATTGTAAGCCTTGCCAAAATGAAGACACATCACATCTAGTATGCTGTCCGCAAGACTGGATACCATGTTGTAGAATGAAGTTAAGTTAGCAGGAAGCAATTTAATGTCGATAAATTCCTGTTGAATTTTAATTATCTTTTTGCTAGCTTGTAGGCTCTTACAAAGACAATACTTCATTACTCATTTTAGTATACTTCCAGAAATTGAAATTAGGATAATTGATTTGTAATTCCTTAGATGATTTTTTTCCCCACATTTTTTAGAAAAGCATTATTTATGGCTGTTGTAGCTTGTATCTTATGGTCAGTAATATTTCCGTGGCTATTGGACTTGTGACTGCAAACTTGCTTTCAGGCCTCTGTTAGATAAATCGGGGATGTTTCTGTTTCAAAAGTGTCCTTAAAACGAGTGGGACTGTTTGCAGAAGCACTGATTGCTCACACGATGTCAGCATTAGGGGAGTAAATCCAAACTGTACCCATTGTTCCAGTTCACTGTCTGTGAGCGCTTCCACAGAAACAGGACTAAACCGGAGGTAACCTGCAGAATTCTGACCGCCACATGTCAGGTGGCTGTTGGAGCCTTAATTCTTTGTGCCCTTAAAAAGATGCAGCTTCAACATTCCTGATAACTAGGTCCAATATGATGAATGCTAAGTGCTAGGTTTTTGAGATGTAATTTTTATGTCTTTACTTCAAAGGTGCACAACTGCTGGTTAAACCATTGGTCACAGAAAATGGAGATGAAAATATTTATCTAGTTGGAGCTTCCCACTTAAGGCTGTTGCTGGGAGCTGAAACTGTGGGTTTGGTGAAGGAATGTAACGATAACTCAATGAGAACTTTTACATACAGCAGTAGAAAAACTTGCAAAGATTTTGCAGGTAAGCAATTTTAGGGGTCTTTTTCATTGCAAAACTGTGGCTAAAGATTATAAGCAATTACACTGCTAAACTTTTCATGGGGATTCTATTCCTTGGAATGATGACAGTGAACAGAAATAGGAAGAAGCTGCCATGGAAAGAATACTCATTTTTACCTATGGAAATTTAGATCATATTATGAAATTATTTTTTTTTTCTTTCACATGGCTTTCAGTTTTTACTTGTGTTTTACTTTATGCTTTTGTATGGTCCAAATAGTCTCTTATTTGTATGAAAGATTTTTTGCTGAAAATAAGAGAAAAGAGTTGATATGTAAACATGAGTGCAAGATTAACAGCCAGTGTTATGAATTAACATAGCAGTTTAATTTCTGTGAGCCAGTTCTGAGGCTTATTATCTTACAGTAAGCTTGAGAAAATAGAAACATTTTGCTCTATTACATTTACACAGCAAACAGAATTAAATAATTATATAAAACTACAGACCCCTTCAGTGGAATTTGGGCATGATTAGAAAAATCCTTTTCCTCTTCTATTTTGAGGAGACCCTAACACAGTAACATTTTCCTTTAAATGTGCTACCTGTAAGGTATTTAACGCCCCCCCTGCAGTGGCAGAACGGATTTTGCTCTCCAGGTAAATATTGGAGTTCCAGCTTAGTCTTACTAATACTTTTCATGTGCCTGTTTCGGTGATGCCTTTCACCACATTTTCAATATAAAGGTTCTTGGGCCTGTCTGAAACAGTAATAAAGTTGAGTTTTGTTGTTTGTTTGATGCCAGTTTATTCAACACTGTTGCTGTGTGCAATAACTGTTGCAATGTCTTTTGTTTTGTGACCTTGCTTTCCTAAAATTGGGAAGCTTTGAGAAGAATTGTCAGTTGCAAAGGTGCTGTTTCTGTTTGTTTCATGCATTTACATTCTTACTGCTAATCTGTCATTGCTAACAGATTCTGTAGTAGTAGCTGGAACTCCAACTACTGTAAATCTAAAAGATAATTTTTGCTGTCTCTCCTGGTCTTCTTTCTGTTTTGAATTACTAATATAATTTTTGTTTTGTCCAGATCTGGTCAGAGGATGAAATAGTTGACTATGCTTAGATGAGGTGAAAAATGTGTCCTCTGCAAAAGAAACCATGGAGCCTGTGTTGTCTTACTAATATTTCTGGTTCCCAAATTTAACTGATAATGTGTTCTTATTCTTTGTATTAGAGATTTGTTGCTGTTTTAGCTTCTTACTTAGCATATTTAGGACCATCCCTATGGTTTCTTATTCCTAAGGGGAGAAAAATAATCCAGCGGTTGTTATCTCAAGGAAATCAGACTCTGTTTCCTTGATGATAAATTGATAGGGTTGACAATAGGTTTGTTGCTGTAACTCTTCAAAGTTTGGGATTTTTGGAAAGGTTTCTTATTGTTTTACCTTATTTCTGTATTTTTATCAGAACTAGTTGTCTCAAATGGCGTATCGTTTTGTTGTATGGGCAATAAAGAGCAAGAGACTGTGATATTTGGGGTGAAATACTTACTGAAAAGGAGATTTGGCCTGACATCTTAGTATTTTCATAGTGATGAAAATAAGTTCAGGAACTGTATGGCAGAAAGGGGTATGGAGATTCTGAGACAGGCACCTGCTGTTTGGCTAAAGAGTCTCTCAGCAGGGCAAGAGTATGTAGTACTCGCTGTTGTACTATCCCAGCCTCCAGCCATTAGTACTTCAGGGGTGTCTTTGTCTCTTGAGTGATTTGTTATCTTAGTTCACTTGGTAGTCAAAAATGCAGTGACTGACATATGCCAGTTAGAGAACTTCTTCCCAAGATGTTTTTTTTTTTAAAAGTGGAGTTTTTGCTAGTGGATGTTGGTTGGCAGCAATTGTTGCATAATTTTAATTTTTTTCTGATTCTGGCCATTTTTGATAGTTAGGTACTGCCAGGTTTGTCTTCCTATGCTGAACAATTTCATGCTACCTTCTTTTTGATTTAGATGACAATCACAGTTTCCTTACAATGGCAGAATGTCAGTACATCATCAAGCATGAACTCGAAAATTTGAGAGCTAAAGATGAAAAAATGATCCCTGGATATCCTCAGGCAAAGCTGTATCCAGGAAAATCGATTGGTAAGCAACGTAGTTTGTGACCTGTAACTCTCTGTGTTGATGTAGGATAGTGTTCATGGTGAAAAACTCCTTAATTTTCCTGCAATGAAGACAAATCCTTCAGACATTACAGTCCCACTGTTTTTAATCAACTTTTTTTTTCTCACGGCTCCACAGTGATAAGACAAGAGGCAAAGGATGCACAATGCAACAAGAGAAGTTCTGAATAGATACTGAGAAAATGCTTTTCACAATGAGGGTAATCAAACATTGCAACAGGGTTTTAGAGAGGCTGTGTTGTCCCGAAAAGTGGGATCTTCACCTGGTGTGCAAGCCAATTCACACAGGGTGGAGTAACTCTGTCCTGAGAGACTTTGAGATCTTTACTAGACAAGGCCTTGAGCAGCCCAATTTAAGCTGGACCTAATTTTAGTGGGAAGTTGGGCCAATTTACTTCCATAGACCCTTCCGTCCTGAGCCTTTCTGGGAGGCTGAGACTCTGGCCTTATGTGCTTTTTCAGTTGGAGAATTTTCACGTGTATTGATGTCATCCATTATTTTTATGATTAGTACCAAAAATATTTGTTTTTAAAAAATTAGATAATGATACACTCAGATTGTCTCCATATAAAAATACTGGAATGAGTAAGATTGTGCCAGAGCTATAATTTTCACAATATGAAGGAAGGAAGTTTTATTTCATTAATTTGATTTCATTTATTCTCGTCTTTGCTTCAAGAGCTTTTCCTTTTCGTCAGAGAAAGAAGCAATGAGAGCTAGTGCTATTTTTATGGTAGCTGGAACTAGGTCATTGGCAGAGGTGCTACAGTTTCTTAGAAGAATTTATCTTAATATTTGTATGTTCTTTTAATAACACTGTCTTTATTCATAAGAGTTGGTCATCAAAGAAAGATCTGTGCATATCAGTGGTTCAAGAAATGTAAATAAATGTAGATGTCAGATGAGTTTAAATTGGTAATTTTTTATATAGTTAAAGTTTTTTTCTAGTTGTGTCAAGTAGATGCTGATGGGAAACGGTAAAAAAGTATCACACAACTTCTAGTGCATCACCTCTTTATGAATTTACTTTCTTTTTTAATATTTCTATGGTTGTAGCTTCCAGAGCAGTTTGTTAATTGTTTATCCGCACGGGTAGTATTGCTTTCCATAAAGTTAAATACGAATTGTGGACTATTTGGTTTGTTTGCATAGAAGATATGTTGTAATTTATGAATTAGTGTAAATTGATAATTCAGAAATGTTTTTTAGTATCTTTCCCATAATTAACACAGCAATGGCTCTTCACTTGAGTGTTTTGTTTTGGTTTTGCTATGTCAGTTTGATTTGTTATGCTGTTCTTTGCTCAAAGGCAGAAGCCAGACCTTTCCCAAAAAGCTACACACAACATTTCACTTCTGACCTGTAGCACTTTTTGTTGTTCAAGCTGCAACTAATTGTATTGCAAACCTATGGAATAGTTAATAGTTGTAAAAAGGTTACTCTTTCTCTTCCAGTGGACAGCACAGTCTTTGTAGGAATAGGTAGAACTACTCTCTGTGATGAATAATTTTTAGCTAACATGCAGACAATTTAATTGGTTTTAGGATTTAAATGCTAAATTTATTTCAGAGGAACTTCAGGCTTCCTAAGTACATAATGTAACCTGTTTGCTTATATCAACTTCTCTGTCCTTTGAAGGGGTACTAGGTACCTTTTTTTCTTTTTCCTTCTAGTGAGAAGATTATTGACTAGTGGTATTCTAGTTCAGATTTTCCCACTGCATGATAGAGAAGAGTTGAAAAAGCTCCGTCACAGCTGGTATGGCCGAGTGAAAGTTGGCTATCAACCTTTAGGTATGTGAACACTTACTCCAGTACAAATCAAGTTCAGGGTTTCTCCTGGAGAAGTTTTCTCTTCAGTTTGTGTGAGAAGACCAAGGGTTCTTCCTAACTTCTGCTGCAGCATTTAGCCTCTATAGTAGTGAAACTCCTGGGTGGCAGGTAAGTGTTATACCAAGAAGCCTGTTGTTTCACTAAGAGTTTACCTTTTCACGTCCCCTATGACCCGTTGCATTTCACTTCCTCTAACATTGCCCTTCTGCCCAAGTTGCTTTGTTGGCCATTGTCCTTGTTTTACCCAGCCTTGCTTTAACTGGTCTTGGAATCAACAGGGTGGCTTAGGCTGTAGTTAAAGAAGCATCCACGTTTCCAGACTTGTTGACACGCGCAGTTGAGGTCTCTTCATTTAATTCTCTTTGATTCTAAGATGGCTGTAGGATAATCTTTTGCTATAATGACTCGCAATACAACTGTTCTGGAGTGAAGTGCTGGATGTGCGGACTGCTTTCTCTTGATTTTATTTCTTGTGGCTGCAGGAGTTCTGTATATAGGCCTTTGGTCACAGTTTCCAAATTGGAGCTGCGGGCCAGTTCAGAGGCTCAGCATTTGAACTGTGATCATTGAACATGAAGTGTTGAAATTAGACCATTGCTTTTTTTACCAAGTTTTTCCTCTTTTGGCGTGTCCTGTGTAACCTCCTGAAACGATTCAAGACTTGCAAAATTGGTGGTGGCTCAGAGCCTGCAGATTCAGTGTTTGCAAGCTTGTGTGTAGTAACAGTCTGCACATCACAAATTCTCCCCACCCATCTGTAAAGCAGTCATCAACCAAGCCAAGACTGTTTTCTCAAACTGATTCTTGACAGGAAAGCTCCTCAATGTCTGAAATTCCCTGAAGCTGTTTTGAGTTGTAGGCATATCACAAGTGTGCTTACAACTGTTTGTTTTAAATTCATTGTCTGTAGACTGTATGTTGGTGCGTGCCAGCATCACTTGAGCATATCTTACACACTGAATAAGCTTAAAATGAAAAGAATTTTTAGTCTGGCAATGTGGAAAGTTAAGTTCTGGATTCTAAACCTGTAAACTTTACTTTTTTAAAAACAAGAAAATAAACATTTGGCAGTTTGCCTCATTATTAATCTCTGGGTCTTGCAGTTGCTTGAGATTCTTGAGCTACAGGAAGTTAAAGATCTGGCTTGATACTTTACTTAAAAACAAGAAAATAAACCTTTGGCAGTTTGCCTCTATTAATCTCTGGGTCTTGCAGTTGCTTGAGATTCTTGAGCTACAGGAAGTTAAAGATCTGGCTTGATAATGTCAGCCTCCAGAGTATTGTGTTAGGGGTCTTATTGTGTGCTTGTCTTTTTGTTTATGCAAGGGAGGGGTTTTCTTGACTGACCTTGAATACCTAAAATTTCAAAGTAAATCCCAGGAACCTTGTTATGTATGTACTAATTTAGGGATATCTTTCATGTTGTGCGTTTGGCGTGTGAAATGATGCTAATGACCTACACTGGAACTTTTATTCATTAATAGATTTTTGTTTGAGGGGGATAGTGGACTGCTGATTCTCCTGTCTGTTTGCCTTGCCTTCTTGCTTTCAGAGACTGAGCTGGTTGGCAATTGTGAACTTCTTCTGTAGTGTTTTATAAACAATAAACTGTAAGAATATTCTGGTATTGCACATGAGGTTTTGATGTGCTAGTCATGTTATGGAGAGTACGTTTAGGGCGTCAATTCAGAGGTCACGATGTCATGGCTGTTTTGTTAAGCTGGTAAATGCATAGCAGTGGCATACAAGCAATCTGGTCTTCCAAGCAAGCAAAGATAAAACAGATTTCAGCATTCTAAACACAGTTTGCTAGGCATTTTTATATCTTATTACGTGGTGCCATTTCTAGATCATGTTGAATACTACTCCTACTTTTTTTGTTAGTAGTAAGATAAGTGAGATCTTGTCTTCTTGGAGGTAATACATCTGTCATGAAGTATATCTATTAGTAGTGTACTTCTCAGGTCTTTGTAACACCTGAGCAGACAGCCTTGGTGAGTACAGCAAGTGTGTATTTCATCTATCGATTTTCTGCTGAAGGGAATGTCTCAGCCTGGGTGTGCTATCTGACATAAGTTTAAGATTTCAATATACCTTTCCATCTATTCCTTTAGTTCCTTGAGGGCTGGCAAAGCCCAACTAAGCCTTTTTGGCCCGGAGCAGGCTGAAACAATTTTGTTTCCCAGGTGTACATATGCCAGTGAGAAACTTCAGAAACTAGGTGTTAACTTGCTGTTAAAATTTGCTTTTTATTACACCAGATGTCTTCTGTGCAATCCTAGGCATTCATTGATAGATTCTGTGTTCAAGAATGCTATTTTTTTTAGTTTTGGGTTCTTTGTTTTGTTTGTGTGTTTTTCTTTTCCCCTCTGGATATCTGATGTTGTTATGGTAACTATTGAGATGTTTGTCTTCTCTAATGTCTGAATATATGTATCTATGTTTATGTGTGTGTATATATGTAAAGTAAAAAAAAATAATTCAAATAACCTTCTGTGTTTTTGAAACGTGGGATGAGGAACAAAAACGCAATAGTATTATTTGTGTTATTTAGAAATAAATTTGATCCAAGGTGTTCATGTAAAAACATAGATGTCAGTATAATATCAAACTTGACAAGTGTCGTCTTAATGGATTCATTTTTCTCTGCAGACGAGATACGCAGCTACTTTGGCGAAACCATTGCTCTCTACTTTGGCTTCTTAGAATACTTCACGTTTGCTTTGATTCCAATGGCTGTCATCGGGATTCCTTATTATGTATTTGCATGGGAAGACTATGACAAATATGTGATGTTTGCCACGTTCAATCTACTCTGGTCCACGGTGATATTGGAAGTTTGGAAGCGGATTTGCGCCATCATGACATATCGTTGGGGGACGCTGTTGATGAAACGACAGTTCGAAGAGCCAAGACCAGGCTTCCATGGTGTCCTGGGTATCAATCCCATCACTGGGAGGGAGGAACCGGTGTACTCGAGTGTTAAGAGACAGATGCGGATTTATCTGGTGTCCTTACCATTTGTGTGCCTTTGCCTCTACTTCTCACTGTACGTGATGATGATTTACTTTGACTTGGAACGGTGGGCTCTGGATTATCATGAAGAGAATGAGTCTAACTTCAGCAGCTTGATGCTCTTTGTGCCCAGTATCATATATGCTGTTGTGATTGAAATTATGAACCGTATTTATCGGTATGCTGCTGAGTTCTTAACATCGTGGGGTAAGAAGTTCTTTATTCTTCCTTGAAGTTAGAATCCCAGATGTTTAGAGTTTGTTTCGTTGTAGAATACGTTACTGTGAGTTTTTGTTCAATGGAATGCTGAAGAAATTTCCTGAAGTAGATTTTTACTGTGAGGTAAGAGAGACGGCCATTTTAACTTCTTACATTTGTTTCGAATGTTCTGAGACTACGGTTTCACATATGGTTTAACTTGCTCTAAGTCTAGCATGCCATCAGAAGGGGTGATCCTGCCTTCCTCCTTGGCTTCTCTCTGTCTTTGGTGCAGAAGTCCCCCTTTCCCTGATTTAGCTCTTTGTTTGGCTGTACCAGCCGTAGTGCTGGCAAAAGGGATGAGGTGAGATCATGAGGATGGGACCTCAGAGGTGGATGGCAGGAGGGACTATCCTGGCAGGTTACACCCACAGCCTGGGTCTTAGTTTACTGATCTATCTGTGCAGAGGATGGAGGCACTGAGATAATGGAACAAAATCCAAACCCACTAACCAAATGCAATGTGAGAGTGCTTGTGTATGCTGTATATGTAACGAAGACTGCGATTTCACATCCCTATCAAAATATTTTCCTCTGGGCACTCTCAGAAGAGGAGGAATGTTATCATAGATTGCCTTTTTTTCCCTTGTGCTTGTGACTTATTTAACAGATTGGGCCTTATGTTTTGTAGCCTAACATAAGGATAGTGAAATGTCAGTGTTTATTTTGAATTTTAGCACTTCTACAGACATGTGCAGTTGCTTTCAGACAAAGTTAATAGATAAAGATAACGGGGAGTTAACTGGTTTGTGTAGCTCAATATGAGATACGTTTACAGGACAGAATCCAGGTTACTAAAGCTGGAGACTCGGAGAATTAACCTGAGAAAGATTAAGCAAAAAGGAGATTGATGCAGAAGGTGGAATGAAAAGTGAAGTGGGGATTGGTTATGCATGCCAAAATGATTTGCTCAGCTAATTCAACTAGACAGTAGCAATAGTGAAAGCAAGCAATTTCTTGATTTCTTTATGACTGCTCAAGGATTTTATTTAAATAATGATTTTAAATTCATGTCTAGGTTTCAGTTGACTGTTTTGTTTCATTTTTTTCACTATACTGCAAGAAAAAGCCTTTATGCAAAATGCCTAGTTCTGTTGATCAGGTAGACTAAAATGTCTTTAACAGGTAACCCAAGTTTTTTTTTTTTTAACCCAAATTTTTTTGGTTTTAAGATGATGTTTCATATTCAGCAGCAAGAGTATTTATGTAAGTCACTACACTGACAACTTGTGTCTTTTCTGTGCTATCCAATGTGTTTGTGCTGCCATGCTGTGAATAGGATGAAGGGCTCATCTGGCTGTTCTACTTCCCTCTCCCATGTGGCATATTTTCAACTAATATCTGACTTAAACAGCTAAATTGACGAGGCATAGGAAACAATCTGGGGTATTTTTAGGCACACCTCTTGCACCCATTTATCATGAAAGCTGAAAGTAAAAAAAAAAAATTGCGTTCAGTCACTTGAGCACATCTTCTGTGTGTCAGGCCCAACTTTGTGCCCCTATCAGGGCAGAACTCTGCTGTTTTGTCCTGAGCAAGGTCTGTAGGTGATGGTGTCTCCTTCCAGCCTTGTTGACACAGCTCATGGTAGTGTGCTGCCTTCTTGGTAACTGCTTACCCAGGGCTTTAAAGATACAATCTGACAAAATAGCAAAACGAAATGGGAAATCTCCCATTCACTTCCCTTTCCTCCCCCCGAGTAACCAGCCTTCCTCAAACATTGACTTCTAACAGTTGAATGAACTGAAAATCTTAATTTTAGAATGAGTAATGTGTCTGTTGAACTTCATGTACTCTAGTCTTGCTTTAGAGCTTAGCGTCTGATCATTCCTTGGAGATGGATGGGAATATTTCTGTGAGTGTTTACTGGTTTTGAATCAGATCTGGTCTTGTTATTTTTTATAATGTATTCCAATTAGTTTTGCATTGTTTTCAGCTGAAAAAAAATCCATTAACTGGGCTTGTTTTATTAAATGTTAAGAATGATGGGTGTTTTTTCTATTATAAGACAGCTCTTCTGAGAAAGAAAGATGTAAAAGAAAAAACCTTTGCAGTAGAAAAAATACCAGAATTGTAGCCAAAAATATGTATGTCAGTATTGTGCATTAAATTAGCTTCATAGGCTAGGTGAGGTACTAGTACAGTATAAATTCTTTTTGCCATAAAGTGTTGGAGGAACTATTCCCCATAAACTGTTAGTTAAGTAATTTTTAGGTGGAGGAAAAATGTCTGTTTACTCTTTGTATAGCAATGTCTAGTATATGATAGGTGCTTCTGCTGTTTGTTAATCAATAATTTTGTTGGTATTTTAGAAAATCACAGGCTGGAGTCTTCTTACCAGAATCATTTAATTCTGAAGGTTTTAGTGGTAAGTATGTAGTATAAGCAGCTTTTAAGAGTATTTAGAAAGAGAACTTGTCATGTGTTTTATTAGTGCTTTCCTAGGATTACCTCACTGACCTAAAGTTCTGTTCAAGGCCAAATACTAGCACAAATATCAGAGTAAACAGGATTTCTGTTGTGGTTGCAGTAACTGCTAGACTGTTTTAGATGACTCTCTTTATAGTGGTGAACTGCACTTGTATTGATTTATTCTTTCACTAGGATTCTGTATATGTAAGTTTTCTTTATGGCAAACTATTTTAAAGAGTTCATGTATTAACTTCCACCTGTACTAACATTCAGACAACCAGTCAGGAGGCTGGAGATACATGTCCATCAGTCTGCTCCTGTGCAGTTTATAGTATATACTGATCTGTTTACTTTGTGGCTCTGAACAAGTAGCTTTTCTGTGTGTATGTATATGTGTTTGGTTGCCCTTTTAGGTGTTTATCCAGATGCAACACTCGCTCTAAGGAAATGCACTGTAAATCGTGAATTCCCACATAAGATGTTCAGCGAAAGCAGTTGTAAAGATTGGCTGATTTTGAGACTTAATCTTCTTGTTTCCTTTTTGAAAAGATCGTTTTTTCCAGAGTTCTTTTTTGTTTTGTTTTGTTTTTTTCTCTGTCAGTGTGCTTTTTTTTTTAAAAAAAAAAATCTGCTTGTTACCCTACTGTTACTGGTAACCTCTAGAGCTACAGCTCTTGTATGTATTGTTTGCCTCTGCCTTTCTCAAAGAATAGCACCATCTCTTTTTCCCCATAGGAAATTTATATAAAATAATTAAAAAAATTATGAAATGTCAAATGTAAGCCTCCCCCTGCCAATTTTCACTTTCACCCTGTGAGTGGCTTTCTGCACTCCCAGTATTATCTGTATTGTCCCTGAGCTCCAAAAAAAGGAGCTCTAGCACTGATAGCAAGTAGGAAACGTCAGAGCTTGATTATGATTTTTCAGGTACAATACTGTGATTTATTTCTCATTTTAGAAGTAGGGAATATTTCTCTTGGTTATAAAACCTCTTGAAGTGGTCAAACATAAAGCTCAACTAACATATATGGAGGAACAGTTGTACATATTGAGGGATATGTCATCCAACACATATTTTGAGAAAGTACTTTTTTTTTTGAGGGGAAAAAAATCATTATCCTAAATTAAGATCAATATGTCCCTTTTATTGTGTTACCTATGGGGAAACTGGCAAAAGATGAAAGTTAAGTAGAAGATGATGTGTTTTTAATGTCCACATTTCATAATTGAATTGTAGTTCCCTTTGTATACTGTGCTTTAGGAAAGCATTAAGCTTGTCAAATGAAAATCTGAATAAGACCATTATTGAAAATGAGGTTTTTCTGACCTAAGTTTTAAAAATGGTAAAGAAAATTTTAATGAACAGTTTACATCTGCATGGAAGCTATTTAGTCAAGGTAACTGTTAAGTTAGATTATTCTGCATTTGAACTTTTGCTTGAGTACTACTAACAAATATTTTTATTTACAGTTCAACTTCTTGAATTGTTTTGCATCTCTCTTCTATATTGCCTTTGTGCTGGTTGATATGAAGCTTTTGAGGCAGGTGAGTTCCAAGAACATCTTCAGAATATTGATGAATCTGGGAAAATAAAGGATCAATTGAAGCAGGAATTTGGTTTTTGATTTTTTTTCTAAAATATTAACTTGACAATGAATATGTTTCATATATGTTTCTTAGAAATCCAGCTTCCATATTTCAGTTCCTCTAGCACAGTTGCAGAATCATAACAGAGAGGAGAAATTCTTTCCCTCTGTATAAATGAGGAACTGTTTTTAAATAAATTGATTATTCCCTCACACAGATGAGGCTGGAAAACTTTCATTTCCTCCTTTTCCTTTATGTTAGAAAATGATTTCCTCTGCAGTGTTATTAATGAAAGACTCGTGAGCATAGGAGCATGATTAAGTTTACGACTACAATGAGGAGCTGAGAATAAATAAAAGCAAAAATAATTTGTAGTTTGTATTTTAAATCAGCTTTCTGTTGTTAACATCTTTCGCACTCAAATGGATGAAAATCAGGTATAAGGAAAGTATTTTTGCTCTAAATACAATGAAAAAAACCCCAAGAACTTCAACTCAAGATCTCTGTTCCTCTAAAGAGATCTCTAGCAAAACACTTGACATATCAATACCAGATATGATATTTGTGACATTTCCTATACTTTAAGGTAAAAAGCAGGAAGAAGAAAAATAGAAAAAAGTTCGTTGTTTAGCTCTGTGATTGGCGTTGGTGTATAAGTGTGTATCTTTACACTTCATTGGGCTTTGTGTACTGTCTCCAAGATACATCCAGATCCACTGAATATTTAGACATCTATTTTGACCTTTTCAGTGCATTGCAAAGAATGGCAACTAGAACACCTATACATTTCATATGCTATTGCTAGTTTTGTTAGACTGACCTTCTGTTGTCGTAGTATAACAACTTATAGTGTTACTAGAACGCACAAAATTGGAATTGATCATAGGTTTATCACAGTTCTATTAATTTTTTCTTTTTTTTCCTTTTTTTTTTTTTTTTAAAAATGAAGAGCTTGGCCACTTTGCTGATAACTTCGCAGATCCTTAATCAGTTTGTAGAATCCTTGCTTCCTTACTGGCTCCAAAAGAGACATAAGAGGAGGATGAAGAAACGCATGTGGTCTCTGAAAACAGATACGGACCTGTCATTAGTCGAACAAGTCAACTTGGAGAAAGAAATGGGCACCTATTTTGTACGTTTTACTACTGTAAAAGAGTTAAAAGTTTTCTGGGCTGTAGTTGACAGAGACATCAGCCAGTGCAACCTGAAATATTTCAGGTTATCTGGCCTGGCAGCTTATTTCCCACTTCATCAACTTTGCAGGTGATGTTTATACAGCTATATGGTGCAGTGGATCAAGAAGCTGATACAGTGCAGGATCCCAGTTACACCAGAATGAAGGAGAGGGTAGGAATGAACAGCTGAGTCTGGAGCTACCTAATCCCGTATCACTAGAAGAAATATTTGTGTAATACACCCTAAATCTGAAGGGTGGCCTAAAGGCTGCTGGGATAAGTTGCCTCGTATAGGGAAGGGGGAGGCTGTTTGTGTGTTGGTTTAGTTTTGCAGTGATACTAGTTTGAACTATCAAACTGTAGCCTGAGAGAGTGCGCTCATGTCTGAGTGGGGCCAGAAATGGAGAGGGCAGAAGAGACTAACTCTTCCAACCAATAGTACAGCTGGAAGCTCTTGCTTCTTGAAACCACAGCTTTGATATTCATGTCGTCTTAGTTCTGTTACTGACCACCTCCTACCCAGTACAATTTTTAATTGTCTTTAAGAGACTTCATGCAATTCTTTACTCGCAGTTCTAAAGGAATTGACGAAGTAGATGTCAGTGTGTATGTTAAGGCCTTACAGAATGACTGACAGCTTGCTTGATCAGATACTGCAAGCATAGTCACAAGAGTCTTCATATTGTATGGTTTATACTTTGACAGAATAAGAGTTATATGTAGAGAGTGTATCTTCTATGTAAAAGGTAGAGAATAGCAGTTTGAAATTTGGTATTAATACTGTATCAGGTTCCTCTCTTCCTGCGTAAAGTGCCGTGAAATGGGAAGAGGACAAAGAAATACTACCTTGGCAATTGAAAAACTATACAAATGTTAATGCTTGCATTCTTCTGGGAAGGCTGATATTTCCCACATTTTATATGGAGGGAGATAGATTTAAAGAGCATGTCTATCTTACAGCGGAGAACACAGCAG